AATGGTGAAGAAAGAATGAACTTGGGTAAAATTAAGTAGTTTGTCTTTTTTTTTACCCTACCACATCCCAGTTGTCTAGCATTCCACTGTCCAGAATACGGCCTGCCTGAAATGTATTGATTTTTCTTTCCTATATTCATTTTTACAAGTATGTACTTTTGACAACTACTGTGTGTCAGGCACTGCCCTGAATGCTGAAGATACAGTAAAAAAACAAACAAACAAACAAAAAAAAACCCTTCATGGAAATATTCCAGTGCTAGAGAAAATATACCGTTAAACACAATATCTCAGACCTATGGAACTACAAGTAGTCTGGTATAATCTATTGGAAAACTGTAAGTGTCATGAAAATGAATATGGGGCCCCAGAACCAATCACTGAAGTATTTGTTAGCTTAGCTTATGCCTTTACCTGGAGCTTAGAGATGAATAAGAGTTACCTTAGGTGAATGGTGGAGGAAGTTGGTGCGGTCTAAGCACAGGGAACAGGATTTGCAAGGATCCTCTATTGGAAGGAAGAAAATAAGAAAAAATCAAATGAGGCCTCTTTGTGGGATAGCAAGGAAGAGATTGGTGACAGTGAAGCTAGAGCACCCAGACACATTGACCTGTAAGAATGACTGTGTTCAAGAGCTCGTATCCACAGGCTTAAGGACAGTCACACTTGGCACACAGATTCTATTTGTCTTCACACAGATAAAGGGAAATGGTGCTGTCCCTCTGGCAAATTAACTTTTTCATTGCCCAGAATTTCTATAACCTTAAATTCCCTAACAGCTAATCTACTGCCCTTCATTCTCCCTGACTTGAGATATAATTGAAGAGCTTGTCCAAATGCTTCCTGTCTTTGTTTCAATGTCCTGAACGTACATATTGAATATGTCAGATATAGGGGAAAAAAAAAAAGCTGAGAAGGGGGTGGTGATGAAGGGTATATGGGGAAGAGGAACCTTTATCTTCAACTCTAACAAGCGAATTAAACGTAGGAGAGTTAGAAAATCAATGTTTTATAAAGTGCAAATATATATCAAAAATGAGTATATTATGTAAGTGATTTTTATTAGATTAGCCATAATGATAAATGCTGAAGAATTTGGAGAAGCAAGAGATGAAACATGTTACAGATCAAGAACGCCTTTTTTGTTTTGTTTTTTGTTTGTTTCTGAGATGGAGTCTTGCTCTGTCACCCAGGCTGGAGTGCAGTGGCGTGATTTCGGCTCACTGCAACCTCTGCTTCCTGGGTTCATGCCATTCTCCTGCCTCAGCCTCCTGAGTAACTGGGACTACAAGCACCGGCCACCAGGCCTGGCTAATTTTTTGTATTTTTAGTAGAGACGGGGTTTCACCGTGTTAGCCAGAATGGTCTCGATCTCCTGACCTCATGATCCACTCACCTAGGCCTCCCAAAGTGCTGAGATGACAGGCTTGAGCCATTGTGCCCGGCCAAGAACACCTTTTTAAGTGATTTTTCTTTTGGTAGTCATTTTCTAACATGCAAATGGTTTAGTATCAATCCTAGGTATTCAAAATTGCAATGCTTACATATATTTTTATCAGCAGGGACAAATAATACAGATTTTTTTTTTTATGAGCTTCAGTTTCCATATGTGTAACCTAGATGATTACACACGGCAGTGCCTTTGGTTAGATGTTGATAATATGTCTGCACACACATACATATGTACACGCACACACAAATAAATAGATCACGGGTTGCAAATTACCAGTAGGGACTCTGGACAAGATGGAGTTATGTGACTTGCCAATGCGCATTCATAAATTTTTAAAAATTGAACTAAAATTGTTGTACCATATAAATTCATGGCTCAGTGTACCTTTTATGAAAAAGTGGGAAAAGTGAAGTTCTTGATTGTGGAAGCGAGAATTATTGGTTTGGTTTCACTCTCCTGTATGATGTAGTTCTATCACTGGTAACACAAGCAACTCAAACATTTTAGGCAAATTTTCACAAATCAGGATATTAATAGGGTTTAAGAGGGATTTTCTGATGACTGTTGATGTTCTTGGCCAGAAATTAAGGGATTCTCATACTTTTCTTTCTCTCCATGTTTCTCATCTTCTTATCATGCCCCTTCCCTACCACCACTGCAGCTTCCTTCCCTTACAGTCACAACTTTCATCCCTCTGTCTGCTTTAGAACCTTTCTATGTCCTTTTATTTTTCATCCCTTTAGTAAGAAATTAAATAATATTTTTAAATAAATTTAATTGATTCAATGCAGTTATACATTTTTATATTCTACATAAAGGTAGTAGTTTTTTGGTATTTATAACAATAATCTCTGAAAACATTATCCTTTACTATGTTTAATATCATTTTCCTTCTGATTTAGTGACCTTTAACAAAGTAATAGGCTATCCACCCTCCTTATGTATTCATAATTTTAATTCACCCTACACATATTTTTAAATTTCTATGAATCAGGCCTTAGGCTGTGGGTACAAACATAAACACAATCATTGAAACAGATGATGTTTACATACAATATTCACTTCTTTGCTGTGATGATGAAATCTATTCCTGGTTTCATCTTCTCTCCATCTAATATCTGTAACAATGATGTTTGCTGCATCTAGAGTCAACATCATTCCCAGCATCAAATGTGTGTTTCTCTAGTAAGAGTGAATACAGCTATCATAATATGGATTGCAAAATTCAGTGAACACTGCTACCTCTGGACACTGGAGAAGAGAAGCATATTGGGTGCAACTGTGTGGGGAAATGGGGAGGAGGGACAAGGAGAACAGTTGCATTCTCTCAGAGAAAATTAGAAAAAGTATACCATTTTAAGAGTTGTTCAAACTATGGTGATGGGGTGAGGAATACGTGTGTATGTGTGTATATATATGTATGTATATATGTGTTAGATACATACATATACGTGTGCGTGTATATTTACGTGTATATATGTGTTAGATACATATATATGTGTATATGTATGTATATATATGTTAGATACATATGTGTATGTGTGTGCATGTATATATGTGTTAGATACATATGTACATATGTGTGTGTGCGTGTATGTGTGTGTATATACAGAAAAAGTTGTATGTAAAACACAATCGAAGCTATCAATATCAGATAGGCATTTCCCTATGTTAGAGGCTGGCTACTTCTGGAGCAGTGGACAATAATTCTGGAGAAATACATTTGCTTCCAAAGCTCTGGCTTTAAAAGTGCACGTGGTTCTTTCAGATTTTGAATGAAACTCTTACTACCTCACTGGCATAGATGTCATCAGAGACGGGCACATCTTCATGTCCGCCACTCAGCTGACTAGTAAGGCACTTTACTGCCTTTTGGAGATTATCTCTAGATTCCTCCATTCAATAAGGGTCTTAAATTGAATTATGAGTGGCCGTTTTTCTCAGTGATAAGCCGATGTTTCAAGAGTACGGGAGTACTAAAGGTCCAGAAACGGGCATTTCCTGTTTCCCTTCTTTGAAAATGGCAAGTGCACATGATTATGCTGGGGCAAGAGAACTAGAGCATGCTGAAAAGATAAACATTTTTTTTTCCACCTTCTCCCATTTTCTGACCTCACCTGTTCCCCGTCTGACCTCTGGGGGGCTTACTCGGGATGTCAAGGAAAATGTAAAGTATGTAAAACCGGCTCTTTAAGTAGTATGTGTACCCTTAACAGTGAATTTCTGAGAAAAGATGGAGAAGACTGAGGAATGCATATCTAATGAATACATTTCAGGGAAATTGGAAGGTTTGTCTAGAAAGGAAAGCACAGTTTACATACATATGCATACTGTGACGGATCAGGGCAAGCACTCCAGTGTCACCATGTTCTTGTATCTGAAGACCTTGTACAATGCAGTCCAAGGCTGTGAGGACTCTGGAGGGCAAAACGCTGAGGAAACCAACCTGCCTCCAAATCCAATGCGTGCGATTTACATTGCAGCCTTTGCGATGCTGCTTAGTTAACTGGCTGTATTTAGGGAGATCTATTGTAGAATTACTTCCTTTTAATTTTCCCCCTTTTGTGACTGAAATCATGAATTCCTAAATATAAACAAACAGCAAACCAAAGGAAAAAAAAAAAAAAAAGCCAAAACAGGTTTACCTAACGGGAAGCCTGGAAGGGCTGGCGTTGGAGAAGCCGCTCGGAAGCGGGACAGGCAGCAGCGCGCTGCCGACCGGTCTTCGGGTCTCTGCCCCGGGCTCTTTTCAGCCTGGCCTTTGGGTGACTGGGGTGGGGGAGCGCGGCCGGCTTTCAGGTCGCGTCTCCCGCAGGTTTGGGAGCCCGGTAGGCCGTTACTGAAAGGCGGTGGCAGCAGCGGTCAATTGCCCTTTTAGAGCTCATTTTGGGGGCGAATGCTAGCAGCAGAGCCACTGCCGCCCTGGCTCTTGTAGGTGGGTCTGGAGTGTCACGTAGGCACCCCAACTCGCGCCAGGGGCCGTGGTCCACAGACTCCCACTTCATTGCCCGGGAGGGCTGAGCCTGCCTCGCCCGCCGGTGGCTGCACCTTTCCCGAGAGTCGGGGCAGCGGCGGCTGGAGAGCGGAGGCAGCCTAACCGCGTAGCGCTGAAACCACCATTCACAAATGCAAACCCCTGGCTTCCGTGGATAAACGGTGGCGGCGCGCGTCCGAGCGTCCCCGAGGGGTTGTGGGGAGCCCCGGGGACAGCAGGAAAGGAAGCGGGGTGGCGGTGGCTAGGAGGCACTGAGCGTTCTCGCCCGACCGGCGGAAGAGGCAGCCGGGTCCGGGCGCGCCGAGCCAGCCGCCCCTCGCGCAGTTCTTTGGCCGCGGCGCGGGGTTCGCCCAGCTTTTCTGGGTGCCCCCGGCACAGCACAGTGCGGCAGGCGGCAGCGTCCTCCCCTCGCCTCCCCACATTCCCTCACCTCAGCCAAGGCGGCAGCCCCGGCGTCCCCGCCCGCCCGGCCCCGCGTCCCCGCCCGCCCGGCCCCGCGTCCCCGCCCGGAGCGCCCCCACCCGGTGCGCCCCCGCCGGGTCCCGCCGCGCAGCCCCGCTACGCTGCAGCTGGAGCGACCGCCCCGGCCGGCCCCGCAGACCTGGGAGGAGGAGGAGGAGGGGAAGCCGGGGAGGGAGGCGCAGAGAGGAGGGTTGGAGCCGGGAGGAGGAAATAAATAAATAAAACAATAACCTCCGCGCCAATAAGAGCGAGGGAGAGAGCAAGACGAGACCAGAAAGCCACCGGGGCCCGCTCGCGCGCCTCTGAGAGGCTGTCCGCGCGCGCGCGTGTGTGCGTGAGTGTGGATTTGCCGGGACTGGAGCTGGAAAGTTCAAACTAAACGTGTTGCTCTCGCCGGGTGCCGAGGCCGCGGCGGAGGCTGCCCAACTTCCCTGGGCCAAGTGAGTGGCGTTGCCCAGCGCCTTTGGCGAGGCGGCGGCCGCTCGGCCCTGCGCCCGGGCGCGGCGGCGGCGACGGCGGCTCCGCTCGCCCCGGGAGGGAGCCCGTGGCCAGGGCTGGACGCTCGCCCCGCCACCTCCACCGACTCTCTCTCTTCTCAGCCTCTGCGCCTGGCACCGCAGCAAGGTACGTGGCGCTTCCCGGCGCGGCTTTTCCCCTAGCACACCCCGCGCGGATTTTTGGCTGCCTAGATTTTTCCCCTTCCCAGAGTGGTCGTCATTTGTCAAACTTTACCTCCACCTCGCACATGCCGGCGGCCGCTGCAGCCGCTCTCCCTGGCAGCGTGGGCTCCGCTCGCTGATGGGAACCGAGTCGAGGGTGGGGCGGGCGGGGGGGGGGGGGGGCGGGATCTGCTGGCAGCGGTGGTTCCCATCTGGATTAAGATCGTATTTCGAAATAACTCGCAGGTCTTACCTTCCGGGGGTGTCCTTCTTTATGACGTTCCCTGTGATGCTGGTAATGGTTTTCCTTGCTCCTTCTGCACGGAAGGACGTACAAGTTTGCAAGAGAAGGTACATGAAAAGCAGGTGAAGTTTGCAGCCACTTGACTCCAAGAGAGGAGTAACCCTTTCTTTGCAGTAGCAGCTATGGTTTTGAAGCAGCGGTGGCGCCGGCAGCGGCAGCGGTGACAGCGATGACAGCGGTGACAGCGGCCTGGCTGGTGGCGGCAGCTGCACGTTGTCCCGTCTGTGACTGGGAGAAGGAGGAAAAGTGGGGCTGCCTCGTCGGAGAGCGCAACTCGGGAGCTGCCTGCAAAGACGCTGCGGGGGAAAATGCTAAGGGCTCCCTGATCCTTGGTAAATCGTGTTTGGAGAGGCATGATTTCCTTTTGTGATATTTATGTGCTTAATAACAGGCATGCTTAAAAATCTCTTTAAAACTTTTATGCATACGATTTCCATTTCTAGATTAGGGGAACGACTCTAAAACCTCTCAGATCAATGCCAAAATCAGTTAAGATCGGAGCGGTGTGCAAACCTGCAATGAATTGCCCAGTGCCTTGTTGTTTGTAATGTATCACCTACTGGGAAACGTATCCTCCGTGCCGTACTATTTTAGTGATGGGTATAGGTTCATTATTATTATTTTTTCTTACAGTGAAGTAGGAAGTTTTTAGTGAAGCAAAAATTTACAAGTCATAGTAAGTTTTCAAGCAACGTGCTTGAGCCTTTTGAAGCCACCTGCTGAATTAGTTCATGTTACTTTTCAGAGGTTAGCACTTTGGTGCAGGAGATGTAGACATATCCAGCAGATGGAGCAGTGGAAAACTATATGAGAACCTGCATAACACTCATTTATCTCGATGTAATCACAATGAGGCCAAATAAATGTGTATGGAGCTCACTTTAGGGGAGACACTGGTTTTACTGTCATATTTGGAAAAAATTTTGTGTCATCTGAAATATGATTGGATTATATCTGTGGAAATTTCGATTCTTTAAGCTTTTTTTCATTCATTAAGCATTTGAAAATAGTTTTTGTGCATATTAGAGTACAGTATGATTCATTCATGTCAGAAATGTCAACTGGTCCTTTGGTTATATCTTGTGGTGATTCACAAAGCCATGAAAAACAATGCATTCTGCCATAATAAAACTCTAATTATTGTGTTATAGTTTTAAAAAGTATAAAACTTGCATTTGAAAGTCAGCAAACATGATTTTGAATACTTGTTAGTATCCCGAATGCACCTGAATTTGTGTTTTGCAAAGTTAAGATAGCTAAATATACTTATTTCTTCAAATAATTTACTGCAGCTTACATTTAAGGACAAAAGCTTATACAACTTTTTGGTCATTCTTGTGAATTGATGTTTCTTCTTCAAAATTTCATGACATTTACATCTGGTGTGATCTGGTCACATTCACTTTGCCTTTAGAAACAGAGGCAAAATTCTTCAAAAGTCACTTTTAAAAATTCTTACGTTGATATATTATGGTAACAATAATAATGTGATGAGAGAATCTGCCTTCCTCTAAAAATTTTAAAACTTTGCAGTCAGTCGTTCATCTGAGAAAATAGCTTTAAAGTGGACAGAGACAAATGGGCTGCCCATTTCGCAGACAGAAGGACAAAGACTTAGGCTTCTGTATTGTTGCACTGTTTCAGGAAAAAACTGCTTCTTGAATCTAATCTGTTCATCTCCCATCTCTTGCTTCTTTCATTGTGTTTTATCATAGATTTTACCGTGGCAGAGAACTGAGCTTAACTAGTCTGAAAAAAATCCTATTAGGTCTTACTTTAATGTCATTATTTAGCAATTTAAAAGTTACAGCCATACAGCAAACATTTTAAGGAATTTAGAGACAGACATGATGCATTGAAAAATGTAGCACTAGCAATCATTTGAATTCAACATGCTTTACACTGAGGGCACATGTTTATAAAATATATGTGACTGTTTTCTAAATCTTCAGATAACGTCTGTAGCAAAGTACTTACTTTTGCATTCTGAAACTATATTTCTTTCACATTCGCATAATATCCAAGAAGGCTTGGAACTCCCAGTGTTATAAAATAGTATAACTACCTTTCTGAAGGAACTAATTTTATCCCGCCTGTTGCCACACAGATTAAGTGATTATAGATTTTTCTAAATTTATTCCATTCTAAATGTATGCCCCTTTACACAGGCAAGAACAAAAGGGTTTCACTGTAAGATGCTGAAAGTTTTATGCCATTTTTAAATGTTTAAAAATATGAAAACCAGACATTTACTATTTTATCATCCCTATTAAATGTGTTAAATTCCTCCACTGTAACTCTTATTGACAGTTTAAAAATCAACTAAAGCAATGTTAATGTGGTAAAATAGGTTAGAAGTAGGTATATTATGGTCATTGCTTGTGTGATATATATCTTCAGAGAAAACTGGGTGCCTTGTAAGTTTTTCTGTAAACTCAATATAAATGAAATGTTGATAAGATTGACATAATTTTGACATAACTTTGACGTATATATTTCTACATATTTTGAGACTTTAAAAATATAATCAGTAAATACTCTTTGTACAATACTGAGCTTCTTCAGTTAAGTTTATTGGACTGATACAATCATGTAATACGCTACTGAAGTTGACTTCAAGTTTATGGAGGGAAATATTGTATACATACATATATACATATATACATACACACAAGGGTAATCAGTTTTCACTGGGAATCTTGGTAATGGGAGTGGCAATGTGCATACTGAAGAATTTTGGAAAATAGTCTAATCATCAACTTTAAATTCTCATTTTAAAAATGTAATCAAAAATAGGTATCTGTTAAATAGAGGATCTGTATTTAACCTAAGCCTCATGATAATAGTTGAAGCTTGGCATTCACCAAGTGTTTGCACTTGTTATTACAGTAATTTTAATGCACTTTCTGCATTATTTGTATTTTCATTCCATCTCCTTAGCACATTGTTCTAATAGAGCTATAATATAGCTCTGTTAGGTAGTTTTCTTCCAGCACCATGAAATATAGCCACTGGGTTTAGACTTAAATATAAAAACCGCAATTACATTTGCACCAACCTAATATTTCAACTGAATTAAGCTTTTGAAACTCATATAGAGGGATTGAGAGATTATGCAGAAGCAGAGATTTTGGTTTTTTTCTCCATTAAGTTATCTTCTAGGAGTTAACATGGGTTTATCAGTCAGTGAAGATCAAGCAAAAGAGGAAACCTTTTATTCTTTAGTTTCTGTCTTTTCACCTGCCTGTTTGGTTTCTCTTACAGTGTAAAGTATGACTGAGCATGACTTTCACTTATAATTTATAAAAAAGGGATATATATTTGAAACTTGGGTGTTTTATTGGGAGGCACCATTTGTTTTTAATAAGAAGAAAAAGTTTTTAGCACTATATATAAGGAAAAAATCATATGTATATGATTTATTATAATATATAAAAATCATTATATATAAAAAATTTATTCTAGATGAGTAAAAGAGTGAAAAATGTATCTTGGGATATAAATTTTAGCAGAAATTATGAGGATGCAAGATTTATCCCAATAATATTTCTAACTTTGAGTATTACTGTAATTTAATTTTTATATGTTAATGCTGTATTGGATACAAACACCTTTACCTTTAACTCTCTTTAATTACCACTTCTTTGTATAAAAGTCTACAAAGAATATAGCTTAATTATATATGTATAATATGATTGTTTATGGCATATGGTATATGATACATATCTCATGAAACATATTTTTAACATGAGTACAGTTTTGCTCATACAATATTCAGGGATAGATTTTATTTCACTGAACATCCCGAATTTTTTTTGAAACCCCAGAGTCCTCAAATAATTTTCTGTATGTTACTGTATAGGACAGTTCTGCCATGTAGCTTTAGAGATATTTAGTCATAGAAATATAATTGGATAAGCTGCCCTACTATTCACCTAATTACCATGAAACTTGTGATAACCTCTAAATATAATATGTTATATAAACTGTTTATGTTGTTACCAAGGGATTAAAACCATGGGACAAGACAAATATAGTCATTCCTTATAGTGATCAAAAACTATCTTTCATGTTTTAAAGGGCCTATGTTTAGAACTTACTATGGGAAAAGGTGGATGGATCAAAAGTGGATATCAAGTGAATGAAAAAATTATTTACGAGAATCACACTTACTAATTATTATAATAAGCATACCTTTCTAATTATTGTTTTCCAAAGGTAGGAGATTGGAGAGGCATAATTAAAGGTACCTAATATTATTAGAATAAGACAGCTGTCTAACTAGTATTTTCATTCTGATAGGAATATGTTTCATGATTTTGATTATTTCACAGCACCCCAACACATAGATTTATACTGTGTTTTCCAATATGAATATCTTAAAGTTTTTGAAATGTATGATTAATTACAATTATCAGAACTCTGTGCCTAAACTAAGGGCAACTAGCGATAGAATACTGTTGGCAAATTGAGAGGCTGAATAATGGTGTTGCAAAAGTTTAAATTGATGTTATTTCCTATATACCCCCAAATCAGTGTTATTAATACTTTGCTAGTACTTTTATTATGAATATAAATTATATTAGATTCTTACTCAACTTTCCGTGCTTAAATTACAGTATGTTCAAGAACTTGCTTTAGTAATAAATATTGATAATTAT